AACACTGTTATACTTGTGGTCGCAAGAACGTTCATGTGTTATCGAAAATGGGTGGCTGTGTTGGTGGCCGAAGAAGATGAGGAAGAAGGGAAACGAAGTATATAGAAAGAAGATGATGAATTGTAGATTCGCGCGACCCATTTGAAAGAGAAATAATTCTCTTGGCATTCGGGATTGGATTAAGCACAAATGCCATAATTGCGGGGGAGGTAATCAAAAATTTGAAAGGCGGAAGAAGGAAAGTTAAACAGGTAAATTTCGTATACTTTCGCGATAATAAAATGATAATATGATTTTTCATGCATAAATTATTTGACATAAATATGTTGGCAAATATTTGGATTGTTATTCTTCTCGCTACATAATTAAGTTTTATATAGGCTGATTTTTTTGCATAAAATTTTTTAAATCTTTTAATTTTCTGAGTGAGATTTTTTTAACAATTTTCAACTCATATCATTGTCATAAATTGAACATGATATTTATTGAAATATTTTACGCATGAGCTAAAACAATTTTTTCTATTTTTCTTCTTTGTAAAATTTGTAATTATTTATGATAATTGAAATAATTGCTACATTTGTTTTGAGATATAGATTAAAATTATAAAGAATAAAATTGAGGTAATGGAGTATCTCAATTTAAGTTTATCTTAATCTAGTGGTGGTTTGAGATCCTCTTTTGACTATAGTTGAATATTATAGTCTTATTTTTATTGAATATATAAAATTATTCGTTATGAATATTTTTGTGAGCATGTCTATGATCTCAAAATGAATAAATTGTACATTATATGGTGCATAATTGTCGTCTATTTTCTTTTGAAGTACTATGAGTATTATAGAAGGTGAAAAATTATGAATTTATGTGAATGTTTAAATACATCTAATGTCAATTAACGATGAGATGTTGCTATTTAAGATATTTAGCAAACTGTGGAAAAATCTTTTTAGTGAAGCTTATTGTCATGATTATATGAAATTAAATTAATTAGTGGTAGAACAATTAATTATGGTTATAATCATGTGAAATTAAATTATCTTAACTACCTTCTTGGTCGAAAAAAAGTAGAAATTGATAGACTCTTGATGGATAATACACTCATGTAGTGATGTAATGTGAAAATCCATAGTCTTTTATTTGGGTGGTCTGTATAGACTTGATGGATAATAGAGTGTGTGATGTATTGTGAAATCTATAGCCCTGAGTGTGTGATGTATTGTGAAATCTATAGCCCTTTATTTGGGTGGTATGTATAGATTTGATGGATAATACATTTATATTGTGATGTAATTTGAGAGTCCATAGCCTTTTATTTGGGTGGTATGTATGGACTTGATGGATGATATATGAAGTCTTCATAGCTCAATTTTTTAGTGGTCTATCTGTGAAAGACTTGATGAAGCAATAACGTGATTGTGAAGGTGAGTCGCCTTCTATGAAAGACTTAAATGATATCTTTCTAGAGCTTTCACGATTACCCAAGGTTTTATGTGTATGGCCATTAATAGCATTTGATTTATTTCGTGGAATCAAAAAAACAGGGAATAAAATTTGTTGTAGGAGTCTCAACCATAATTACTGTAAGTTCAAGAGGTAACTCACTCTCATTATTAGGTTCACTATGCATTAATTCAAATCGTAAGATATTAATGCTTAAGTTTATTTTCCTTCATTGCTCACAAATTTATTTTTAAGAACTAGTTAGTCATTTGTGGGGGATTGTTAGGAATGACTAATTTGTCCTCAAAAGATTTAATCTCTAACTATTTTTAAACTTAATAAATTTAGAGTATACTATTTTTAACTTTACTATTTTTTAAACTACCAAAACTAGCGTATTGTATTAACATAGTCTTTTTGTTTTATAGAGGGAAACAAAACTTTTATAAGCTTGTTTTTTATTCCATTTGGCTCCGGCGAATGCACGCTTGAGTTCGAAGTTGTGTTAACCTTGGGAAGCAATCGGCTAGCATACGATATAACATCTTGGTCGTGCCAAAATTGCTTTCAAGACAATGGCTTCGTCCACCGCACAACAATCTTTTTCTTTTAATCCTAATTGTTCCAACATTGTTCGTGTTAAAGACCGAGTCAAGATCCTCCTGGATCAGAAATGCACCGATCCCACCAGGAAGAAGAAGTTGGGTTGTGCTTGATTGGGGAATAAAAAAGCAAAGATGAGGGAAGAGAAGAAAGAGAATAAGGAAAATGAAAAAATAAAAAAATTCACCTCATTAAAAATCATATAAAATTATTAAATATTTAACTCACCATTACCAGGTCATCATTATGTTAGCGTTATCAATGGAGTTTAACTCTAGGGATCATTTAGAACTATTTTTTAAAGGTCACAAACTAAAATCGGTCGTTTTTTGAAATTTAGGAATCAAATAGAAACTACTCTCAAATTCAAGGACTAAAAGTGTATTTTACTCAAAATTTAAATAATTATCTTCAAAATAGTTATAAGTTATCAAAAATAAATTAAGTAAATTTTTTATTGTAGGTCTATTTTAGTCATTCTAGCTAAATTATAGCAATTTAATACTAATTTGTTAAAACATTGTAACCGGTTCTTCTATATCTGAAGTTGAAATTTACCGAACACTAATTTACTTCGACGATCCAGGACCAGRATTTGGACTAGGATTTGGAATTCAAATTTGACCTCAATCGTCCTGACATTCTCTTGCATCTCCTGCGATCTAGCCGCGCCACCGTCTAATTCTAAAGGAAGATAGACTATCTTTTTAAAGATCAACACAAGTTTTTATTTCTAAGTTAATCGCCTTGAAATTGCTACCTTTGTTGTCATCCCTGTTTATAAACCAATTAATAATTAAACTGAAAAATCCACTTTAACGGCCATCTTAAAATTTTAATACAATCCGCACACAAAGATAATAATCATGAACTTGAATTTTCATTACCAAAGTGGAAAAAAAAGGACAAGGAGGCTTATAAATAATTAGCTTTATACAACTAACTACTTTTTTAATACCTACCTCAATTATTTAAAGCATATATTTTTATCGATAATTAAAAAAAGGAGTAGAAAAAGAAAAATCTCCCATCCCTTTTAACTTTGTTAAACTAAATTTTAGCTCAGCATGGAAAACACGTATACATCAAAGAACAAACCCCCGATTCAAGCAGTCGTCTTAACAGCCTTTTCCTACCGTATGATCTACCAACAACTTTCTGATTACTTCGACAGRACTCCTCGTTGGCATCAGCGTCGCCACCGGAAGAGGAGGATTCGACGAATGTCTTGAGACGACTTATCGCGAGCATGAGAGTATGTTCCGACATATTGGCAAAGCACATTCTGAACCAACCCGGTTCGGAGCAGTGGCAAGCCGAACCGGGGGAGATATTGAGCCCAACCTGGCACAAGATGGTCCTCCACAGCTCCATTTCGTCCTCGAAAGTGGCGTTTTTTAAGAGATGCCTCATGTCCACCCAGCAGAAAAGACCCGAATTGCTGTCCAAGCACCCGATTCCGGCGTTCCGGAGCCCCGAAACAAGCATCCCCTTTCTCTTCCGGATCCGCCTCTTGGTCTCGTCCATATAATTCCCCCGGAAGTCCCGGTCCGACAGCATCCGCGACAGCAGGTACTGCGTCTGCGACGAGATGAGGCCGAAGCTGGACATTTTGGTGGCCGCTGCGACGACATGTCGGTCGTTGGAATAAATCATGCCCACTCTGAACCCGGGGACTCCGAGGTCCTTGGAGAGGCTATAGACGACATGAATTCGGTTCCAAAGTGGGGAATTTTGGAGGTTCCGATCGATAAGGGCTTCGGTGATGCTTATGAAAGAGGGGGAGTCGAAGACGGTGGCGGAGTAAATCTCGTCGCTGACGATGTGGATGCCTTTGGCGGCGGCGAAGTCCACAAGTAAATTGAGCTCGTCGCGGCCCATTGTGGTGCCCAATGGGTTGGAGGGGTTCGTTATTAGAACCCCTTTCACTCTCAGTTTCAGCTCCTCGGCTCGTTCCCACGCCTCCTCCATGGCCCAACCGCTGATTCGGAATCCGTTTGAACTCGGACACTGGATTGGAATTATTTGTGCCCCTGTTCGCCATTTTACGTCCCTGTCAAACCTGCCAACCATAAAAAAAAGAAAATTCAAATTTCTTTTTTTTTTTTTCAATCTGAGATAATACTCTACCGCTAAATGATAACTAAAATATAACTTTTTTTTTTTAACTGATGAGCTTGATTTTTTTTGAAACTAACGAGATAGATTATTTTATCAATTAAGATAAATATTTTTCAGCCATGCGAGAGGATTCCAGATAAAAGTAAGAGTTTTGTATACAAAATATCAATACTTCATAGAGGTTTATTTCAAAACTATCGAGAGTGAGAGGAGTAACTCATGTATCAACGTGGGATTTTAACGAAATAGTTGATTTTTTATTTATTTATTTATTTATTTAGAATGTGGGGTTACCCTGGATAGTATGGGGTGGGAACGAGAAAGGCTTCTCCAGATTGAGCGAGACAAAACATAAGGATCTCATTGGCAGAAGTTGCACCAGCGGTGAGGACGAGGTTGTTGACATCGAATTTCACTTTGTTTCCTCGTATTTCCGCCATCAACTCCACCAGCTCCTACACAATTATTATTACACACACACATAACATAACTCACAATTATTTTTCAATTCAAATTAAGGGGAAAAAAAGAACTTAGACCGAGAAATTGGAAATTAGTAACTCACTTTTTTAAAAGCGGGCAAGCCATGGTAGTCTTGGAAAAGCGCCAGCTCTCTGAACACTGACTTCCCATTTCTTCTCAATCCCAAGGCATCTGGATTTCTATCCAGCCACTCCTCCACCAGGTCGAAAGACAGCTGCCCATACCCAAAATAATATGTATATATAATTTTCATGCAATTATTTCAAATTTTGGGAGGTGGGTATTACACAAAATTTAAAAATTACCTCGTTTTCAGCGAGACCCATTTGAATAATTCCAGTGGGGTTACGAGTTGGGTGGTAGGGGTTCTTCTCGTACTCTTGCCACCCAAAGAAGTAGGAGGAGTCCTGGCCATGAGAATCATGGCTAGCTTTGCTAGATAACATTGCCATTAGGATAGATATAATATGTAGCTAGCTTTGAATAGCGGCTGAATTGATGGAATAACGAAGAGATCAAATGAAAAATTCAGACAGAGCCAAAAGATAATTTGCCTGTCTTTGTTTGTTAGATCGGTGTAGGAGAGGGAGATAGATAGTATTTAGAGTTGTAGCTATTGATATTGAAATGTTGTGGGAGTGTGGGGATTCTTGGTTTTGTGCTGCAACTTAGAGTAGCATTTTGTTCATATATATAGGGGGGAACTTTTAAGCATCAAAGAGTTTTGGATTCCCTTTGACCACAAACAGACAGATTTTGGAGTTTTGACTAATTTCACTCTCTCTCTCTCTCATTATTGGCTTGTTTGTTCCAAGTCAAATCCTCTTATAGCAATAGGCAACGTTTTTCAAACTCAAGAATATTGGGTCTCAAATAGTAAAGAAAAGTTTTAACTAATTCAAATCTCCAAGAAAGATTACATCCTTTGTTTTGAGTCTAATACTAGGCAGGGAAAAAAACTGATGAAAATATCTTCATACTACTAAGTAGTTGAAGATGATTGGTGAAAGTTGTAAGATTTAGCTGTTGGATAAATATAATTAAGGTGGCTGGTTCGTGATTTATGAGCTTACACATGAAATATAGAGAGAAGCGTGTGTGTTTTTGCAATGCACCGACAATCAACCGGAACAAGGGTGGATTCGGCGGATCAACAGAGCTTGTCCCAGGCCATTTACGTTTCTTTCTTTTTAAAGATTTGGTGTAAAATTAGGGGGAGATTAAGAATAATGTAATGATTAATTAATAAAGTATATTTAAGACTAAAGAATATAATTTACGTTGACTGGGGGTGGAGCAGACTTTAAACGAGGTTTTGGAGGGTATGATACGTGGAATTTAGACAATAATCTTTGTTTTTATAAGACAGAGTAAAGGCAGAAAAACAAAATGTATCCTTAAACTCCTAATTGAGGTCGCTTCTTAAATTCCTCTTGTTTTTTGTTTTTTTTAATTAATTAATGCAAAGTCCTAATATGCATATATGTAATTGATAAAGAGAGACAACAGTATTCTATGAAAGAATTACTTCCGATTCTAAAAATTGGTCCGTGTCATTTAATGCTCTGCACAATTTTAAGAAAAAAGATGGGTGGAAAATAAGGGAGTAACGCCACGTGTCAGCAGGAGAGGGGCAGGACAGGACAGGGGTGGTCCATGGGGATTGCCTATGCCTACGTTGTAAAATCAAAACGCAACGTCGGGACCCACGGTTTTGAGATGCCTCTTCCTCACGCGCTCCACCCCCCACTTTTGACCTCCAACCCTTCCTTGTCCCCCAACATAATTTCTACAATTTCACGTTCAATATTACAAATCCATTCATATTAATTATTAAAAAAACATTAGTCTAATCACACTTGAATCGATTCCATGTCCAAGTAAGAACGATTCCGAGACTTAGTCGCTTTCTTTACGAAGAACAAAGGTACAATTTTGTATTGGTTCAATAATCATAATAATTTTAAAATTAATCGAGTTTAGATTGAATTAATCATACCTTTGATGACCTCTTAAAAAATTTTCTTTAGTTTGTATTCAGAGAATTTTAAAAGATTGGTGCCAGAATTGATAAAAAAAAAAAAAACAAATTAAGAACTATTTGATATGTTTAGCTTTAAAATGATTGACAATGAAGAGTTAATTTTTTTATCCAAAAGTTAAGGAAATTTCTTTGAAAAGGAGAAGACAATGGAATGTTTGGATGAATAGTTTGGAATATAGGTTAAATTTCATTGCTACAAAATATTTAAAAGTTAATTTAGAAAATAAAATAGAAGGGCACCAAAAGTTACTTGACTTGAATTGAATAAAATAATATTTATTTAAATAATTGGAATTATTTATTTATTTTTTTTGCTTTCGAATGGTTAATTTAAATTGAAACAGAACCATTGATATTTCTATCCACGACGGAATTTATTCCATGAAATAAAAAATCATAAATAAAACTCAATTATTTATTAATATGATAGAAAGTGAGAGTAACTCGTAAAAAAATTAGGTAGGATCTCGTCCCGACCAATAAAAATGACAAGTAAAGGACCGCAAATTAATTCAAGAAAACCGTAAGTTTTTTTGTTTCGACAAAAAAAAACCGTAATTAAATTATAGATAATGTCGCCATCTATACGTTGTATTTAAATTGATAGAGAATCTTTTTCACCTTTAAGTCTGCTCTTTCGTACCTTATGGTTGACGGTTTTATCAGTGTCCGATTGCGTCACAATTTCGTATCATATGTACCAATTGAGGAATTAAATGTCGTTTCTCAAAATAAATTAATTAATAAATAAAGGTAAATCTTATTTCCACAAAAAATATCTATGAATATTGGGGTGTGGAATATGGATAATTATTTTGGGGAAATGAAATATCATGAAACCATCAAATTTTGGAGATCGTGTGGCCGGTGCATTTAACTACGTTTGAAAATTGAAGGTCGAGAAATTTGAATTTTCAATCATATAAAGAAGAGTGGCTGTTATTTACCGTTGAACTATGATAAAAAATTTATTTTTATTTGTATGTTGTCAATTTTAATTTAAAAATTGTGTTCATTCTTAAGATAGTATCAGAACGGGAGGTCGTGTGTTCCCATCAGCTTAAGCTTTTGGGTTGAAAGTACTGTAACGTGATCAGAAAAGTTATATTTAGAAAATCATTTATGAACCAAGTAAATCACTCAATAAACTGCAAGAAAATAAATCAATTAACAAATAAAATTTTGATTCAAAAATAACATTGAAGTGGCATAGTTAAATTTAGGTAAAAATATTGTTCTCATCCCTACATTTTTTACTTTGATTCATTTAGTTATTTTAATTCATTTAGTTATTGTACTTTTAAAATTTTTATTTTTGTTAATTTTGATTTATTTTAGTCCATGTATTTTAAAAATACATGGACCAAAACAAATATTTTAAAAATAGAACGATAAAAATGAAATAAAGTTGAAATTACCTTAACCAAAATAAAAATTTTAGAAATATATAGATCAATATGAAGCAACCAAACTAGTATCTAAACCTTAGACTAAATTCAATTAAGGCCAAAACCCAATATTTAAGCAACTTATTAGATAAGATGCAAAATTATTTGTTTGAGGTTGAGTCCCACCCAAAAATGGTTTACCTGATTAAGAAAAAGCAACCTTTTAAATTTGAAACTGAAAAAAGAAAATATATTCACAAATGAATTTAAAAATGACGTCAAAAAGAAAGAAAAAGGAAAAAAGATGAATATAATAGCCCATCCATATATAGCATAGCCCACAGAAAAATAAAGCCCCTTTCGGCTCTAAAATTGGACTGTGGCCAAAAAGGMGCTGACGGTGCAGATCTGCCACTTGGCCAACCTTGTACGAAAAGGGTTATTTCCCAACTTGGGTTAATTCGATATTAATTTTATCATATTAAAAAAAAGACGACATTAATTTTATAATTATTCAATTAAACGTAAATTAAAACAAGKGATTTGGCAGCTAAGCCAAACAAAACTATGTTGTCAACCTGCATGCATGAAAAGAGATGTCCGAAAATAGACCTTTATAAAGTGTTTTGTTGCGAAAKAATTTCTCATTTATTTAGAAGTTTATAAAGTTTTTGGACATAATATATTTGATTAAAAGAAATAACATCAACTAGCACATATTAGATTCACGTCGACATACCTATGTTTCTATGCGTCGTGGTTCGACATCAACATTAAAAAAATGGTGGTATATATATATATATATATATATATATATTTGAAATAAGTATTACTAATATCGACCTTAATAATACTTATATCGACCTTAATTATTAAGTGAAGTTACGTTAGTATATAGTATAAATTTAACATGTATTTAAAAGTGTCACAATTTGTTATTAATATTTTTAAATATAGCATAAATTTAACTCATTTAAGTTTATTCGAATCGTTTGTTTTTCTTTTTGTAAAATCTCAAAGTCTTTGTTCTATATCTAAAATGTACATATTATTTATTTAATTGCTTCTAATATTAAAAAGGGTGTATTTTTTATTAATGTTTCTTGGGCATTAAACATTTTTATAAAATTGAAGTACTCTATTACTATAACCTCCTAAAAAAGAGAGCAARAAAGGATTATATAGTACATAATTAAGAATTGATTAGAGTTTTTTTWAGCACAACAAAGTGGAATCCGAACTCATAATATTTTGGTCGGAAATAAGATCTTAATATGGCAATTGAGTAGGATTTAGTGAACTTATTTGTGTTAGATTCCACATTGAAAAAATAAAAGATTCAACAACGATTTAGAAAAATATAAGGGAGCTACTCAACTAACTACATCTTAAAATGAAGTCCTATAAATATTGATAATTTAGACGGTTTTTATTAAGTCACGTGGCATATATATGTGTGAGAACCCCATCGAGGTGAGGGAGGAAAACTTAAAAGTAGAATATAGAAGGGAATTGTTCTTTTATTTTTCTTTGGAGAAACAAGAAAAAAGAAGAAACGAGACGATTCCTAGAGGAAATATTGGGGAAATGGAGAGAGAAAAGTGGGGTGTGGAGTGCCAAACTTTGAAAAGGGGCATTGTACTTTGGTGAGGCTAATAATAAGTGGTAATTTGGTGTGGATTCCAAGTGGGAACAGAGCAGAAGCCAAGTGAGGAATTTGAAGATAGAGCTCTCTGAGTTTGAAAATAAGGAGAGAGAGGATATGTGGATTACTGCAAAAACAGGCGGTGGCGAAGAAGAGAGAAGAAAAAATGGAGCAAAGCAACAACATTTTATTGAAAGTCTTTTCAGGGTTGCAGTCTTTTCTGATTAGACATTCTAAGCTTTAAATGGAAAAACTAACTGTTTCGCATCACTCTCTCATCCCCAACAAAGGCCCCCCCTTTTTCTCTCTTTTCATTTCCCAACTCTCCCCATGCCCCCACTTTCCTACTTCCCTTTCTTTCTTTTCATTATCTAT